AATAACGGATCAAGCTGTAACTAGTCAGGTTGGCATTGAAAAGTACATGAATGACAAGGTAATGAGAATGTGACTTTCAAAATTTAAACCAGAAAATTCTGAAGCTGGTCCAGTATCCGTGGAAGTGTGGGACTTACCTGAAAATGACATGCGGACCCTGTATCCACCAAGTAGAGATCAATATGATCCAATGAAACCCTGGTCATTTCATATTTGACGTCTTCCACCAACTGACATGGTAATGAAGAATTTGCATCAACTCTAGTGCATAAATGTTGAGGTGCATCGTGTTGGCATTTTTTGTATGGCAGAGGAGGTTGGAAGGTATTCTCAGAATTCAGTGCCAGAAAGACAAACATTTGAGCAAAGTTGGCAAGTGACTGAATCTGCAACAGAACAGGGAAACAATAAATGTTGCATATTATTTTTTCTTTTAAAAAATCATTGGTTTAGTAACCAGATGTGTGGTATAATGGTTAGTGTGACTACCCAGCATTGCTGGTTCAACCCCTGTGGTTATCCATTGGTTTAGTAACCAGATGTGTGGTATAATGGTTAGTGTGACTACCCAGCATTGCTGGTTCAACCACTGTGGTTATCCATTGGTTTAGTAACCAGATGTGTGGTATAACGGTTAGTGTGACTGCCCAGCATTGCTGGTTCAACCACTGTGGTTATTCATTGGTTTAGTAACCAGATGTGTGGTATAATGGTTAGTGTGACTACCGGTACTCAGCATTGCTGGTTCAACCACTGTGGTTATCCATTGGTTTAGTAACCAGATGTGTGGTATAATGGTTAGTGTGACTACCCAGCATTGCTGGTTCAACCACTGTGGTTATCCATTGGTTTAGTAACCAGATGTGTGGTATAATGGTTAGTGTGACTACCCAGCATTGCTGGTTCAACCACTGTGGTTATCCGTTGGTTCTAGTAACCAGATGTGTGGTATAATGGTTAGTGTAACTACCTCAGCATTGCTGGTTCAACCACTGTGGTTATCCATTGGTTTAGTAACCAGATGTGTGGTATAATGGTTAGTGTGACTACCCAGCATTGCTGGTTCAACCACTGTGGTTATCCATTGGTTTAGTAACCAGATGTGTGGTATAATGGTTAGTGTGACTACCCAGCATTGCTGGTTCAACCACTGTGGTTATCCATTGGTTTAGTAACCAGATGTGTGGTATAATGGTTAGTGTGACTACCCAGCATTGCTGGTTCAACCACTGTGGTTAGCCATTGGTTTAGTAACCAGATGTGTGGTATAATGGTTAGTGTGACTACCCAGCATTGCTGACATCACATAAAATTGCAATATTCCCTGGATCTTTTTCTAAAAACAGCACTCAAAGCATGTAAAATCTAACATGAACAAAAACTATGAAAGAACCATTTACATTAAGCAGACAACTCACTTGTGGTAAGGTAACTTTACCGCTGACTGATCCTACTTGAACTTCCACCAACCAGGCATATTCCAATGTCTCACTTGTTGGTGGTAAATCTTCACCAGAAAACATGGCATGACCTCTGACCTGTAGACCTGACAAGGTTAAGTGACCTTCTTTTAAATGGATGTCTGAGTCTGGTCGCTGTTGAAGAGAGAAAACAAGATCTGACGAACAGTTCTTTCATGAAAACTATAACTGTTGACATTTCTGGTGAGGGTAGACCATACATTATTTAGACTTTAGCATAAATAATGAGATCATTTGCATATTTATTGCATGTGCTATAAAGTTTTCCACTTACTGATAGGTATCAGCCATTAGTATTGTGACAGGTGATAGTAACAACTGTAGTTTGGTTTCTCGGTAGGTTTTGTGCATTTCAAAGCACAGCTGTTCAAGGTGAGCCACAGGAATCATCCCATCTTTCTCTCCACAGTGCTGTAAATTAAAATAAGTGAAATGATGCAATTGAATACATCTAGAGCCAACTTTAGTGCAATTTTAGGGTTCTAATTCTGTTCAGTATCATTTTAGCTGGAATTTCATTTTGCTGAAAATACATTTTTGTATGCAGTTTATTTTTGCTCATTTTAAATGTATTTCACTGAATATTTTTCACTGATTCATTCTTGGGGTGAAAACAGCAACAATAAATTCCAAGTGAAAATAAGGTACTTTACAGTAGATAGGGTAACAAGTAGCTTGATTGAAGGTACCGTGAAATCTGTATTAGAAGCCACACCCATTCATTTTGAACAATAGAAAATTGACTATTTCGTGTAGATGCTCTAATAGAAGCTGCATCTCCTCTGTTGTATTGCACCACTAGAAGCCATTACTTCTAATACAGATTTTACATTTACTATCACAAAAGTATAGGACTGCAGACAACTTATTCTGGTCACTTATAATTAATGTAGTACATTGCCTCAAACTACATCTGATCATGTAAGTCACCTTTACGTCTTGTATGTTCTGAACCAATCAGAACTTGTGTTACAGGCTGCCTGCTACACTCTGATTGATTGACAAATCTTGTAAGAAGTAAGCATGATGAACATTGATTTGTGTTGTCATTTGACAGTTAGAATTGAGTTGAAATAAAGTGACCTCCACCGACATCAGATTTCAATCAAATTACAGACAATGTGATGTCATATGGATTTATAAACTGGAAAACATATTGATTCTTACTTAACAAACAACAAATAATAATTTGAGAACAGTTATTTTGAAAAACAATGAGTAAGTAAGTACATTGTATAGTAAGAGTCAGGATAAATATAACTAGTTGACCCCTGACCTTTGGGAAGTAACCTCTGACATTGGTTATGCTGGCTGATACAGTGACACATAGTGGTCGCAAAGTAAGTGGATTGATGTTCTCGTCATCTGTTTTATCAGTTATATCCACGGCAACACTGCTGGATGGTGACATGGACTGCGATGGGCAACTGCTGCTAAGATCTGTAAACATCTGATCTTCACCGAAAAAATTCTCCTGTAAAGGGAAAGTTAGTGATATTTGGGATTTGAAATTATTGATTGGATATTAATAGATAAAATTTTCCTCTGTACTGCTGCTGAAAACATTGATTGTTGTGTTCTCATGTAAGTTGTGAGTTTAGTCAAAATAATGTTCAGGTCACTTACACTTACCGGTACATATACCCTACTCTATAACCGATTGCATTTTGTCACATTTTTGGCCAGATTAATATAAAAACCACCTGCACAAAATTAAGGCCAGGAAAAAAAAATTCTCTGTTCCTCGTTTCATGGAAATTTTAAAATGAGGCGGCGAAGCGATTTTTTTGTTTTTTTGTTTTTAATACTGAGCTAAAATGGGGGTTAATTTGAGACAAGTACGAGTACAGGCGCATTTTGGAATGCTTTAGAAGAAAAAAAAACGTCTGAGGTGCATAGTTCCAAAAATATTTTTTTCTCAGCCTAAAATGCAACAAATTTTATTCCAATTACAGTAATTTTAATAAATGTAAGTATATCAATAAATGTATTGTTTTGACATTTTTATTTTAAAATCATAATCATTTGTATGGAGTGTATGCCATACAGAATACAAAATAGCCCATTTGCTTTGAATAGTGCTCTGTGAGTAGCTAACTATTTTGCGATAATTAATATTCATGAATATTACCACGTACATGTAATACTATCAAACCTTTATAAGATTATGGTATGCAAGAGAGTGGTATGCGATGAAAATCACACACAAAGAAAAGAAGTCACACAATTTTGCAGTAGTATCACAAAGTTTTCTAGAAACATTTCTCGAAATTCAAATATGAATCCGTGAAAAAAATGGTTCAGTCAGACAGTTTTTGGTACTGTCATCGCATATTCACAAAGTGTGTAATATGTGCACTTCATGTTTTTTATTGCGGCAATAATCTTTCTAATAGCTCATTTATGTTTACGCAATTGAATATTTCCAAGCATGTAGTGCATTCTGTGACAATATCAACAGAATGGGGTCACTTACAAATGTTTTCAAATCGTAAAGAGTTAATTGCATATTATCGTACATGGTTATAAAAGTTGCATACCCTTTAGCTTACCTTTAGGAAATAAAAGTGTCTAAGAATAGAACCATAAACAAAGAGTTCAGAAGGACCCATGTCAAATTCCACACTTATGACGTCTGGTGGCAGTGTACTTGGATCTACTAACATACCAACAGCCACTTTAGTGTCCTTTGATGTTCCTGCTATTGTACTGTCTATAGAGGGCGCTACTTTCATTGGTAGGTCATCATTCGGTGGGAGAGGATAGTACGTGTAGCCGAGATTCAACGAGGCCTCAGGTACGGACAGGCAATCAATCCAACCAGTACTAGTGAGCAAGAAGTGATTAGTTTGGTTGCTGTTTTCAATTATTATAAGTATGAATGTATTGTAAGTATTAATCCAATCTTATACCATATACCACATCATATCATTTTTATCAAATATTCATTATATTAAATCAAATCATAAACAATATTCCATATCATAATATTCAAATTATATACCATAGTACACCATATCATATATGCATATCATATTAATCAAAAATACCATATCATAGATTATATTAATCAAATTATAATTCATATACCATATCCTGTGCAAACGTTTTAATCAGTCTTGACCCAAATTGACCCTCTGTCTCATACCTTTCTTGAGTTACATTCCTCCATTTGGACTTCATCTTCTTATTAGATGTGTTACTATTATCAGTCATTTCCTTACACTTCATTCTCTCAACAGCCTCCTTACAGGATCTATCCAACGCTAGTAATACATGTCGACTGGTGGCGCATTCTGGTATGAAAATCCGCAAGTCAGCATTCTCAATCTGGTACAAACAAAAAGTATTACGTTATGAACTTTACCCCACCATTTCTTTTACCCACCATGATTCTTGACCATACTGACTGAATTGTTCAACAGGCATGTATTGTTAAGCATATATTGCTTGAAGCCTTTGACATAACAGTTAAGGTACTCTTAAGATATCCCAGTCTTGAATTTGTTATATATATGTTATAAATATTTTAATAGATTTATTTGTGAAGAGTTTTCAGCAATGATTCAGGTTATTCTGTTCAATGATTTAAAAATGAGCTCATCACAAAATTAAAATAATGATCTGTGATGCACACTGGAATCCGGTTTATTTCCTGTATAACCATTAGACTCTGCTTTCTGTATTCATGTTTCTACAGTGCCCAATTAAACATAACATACTTTCTGGGTTGGTTTTGTTTAGTGCACACTTGAAGCAGAATTCAAAATAGGGATCCATAATAGGATTAACTATTGATTTGAATGATTTGATACACATACTTTGTGAATGACAAAACTACTAAATTTGGTTCACGGCTCAATTTACTGTATATGTTAAAGACTTTGAACAAAATATATGTGACAATACATACTGCTTGTCAAACATTACAATTGTGATAATGACTAATGAGGATTCACAAAATAAATGCAAATGCAACATTCGGTTAAAAAACAAAAAGAAATAACAAAATGCACAATTTAAACTTGAACTCATTAACTGGAATTTGTAACGATCCATATTTCATATACTTACTGCGATCCAAAACTTGATCGGTACGGTTTCAGGCAAGAAGTCAGAAAACGGTAGATTGAAGGATATATCAAAATGCTCACCGCATATCGCTAGTAAAACTATGCAATAAAGAGATATGTGAGTTAACATAGGGAATGTTGAGAAAAATAGTTTAAAAAAATGCTGTGAGTGCCATTAGTGCCAAGAAAGAACTAATTCTACACCTTCTTCAGACCTTTTCATTTCTAACTGAATGTAACAGACAGACAACATATTTGTAGGCGACAAAAGCTATAAACATGTTGAATAGATAAATATGCACCCCTAGTTTTATAATTATTCTCACCATTCTCTTGATTCTGAGATGAACAGTCAATCCAGTTGTATAAATTTGACGGAAGAATTAATTCAAATTCATTGAAAACAAGATTGAACTGCCACGTATAGGGTGTAAATGACAACAGATCAGGTTTACTTTTACTTGACCAATCATTCATTAAATCTGGAAGAGATAAATAAACTATTAATAGTTTAATAAATTCCACTAACTTTATAGGTTCCAGGGAATGTAGTATCATTTTTGGCCAGATTCCCATCGAGAATGTGCAGAGTAATTGACAAATTTATTTCGTCTTAATTGAGTCTCAGATGCAGGAAACAGAATTTATGGTTAACATGAGCTATGTGTCTATGTCCTAGAAAATACTTGAAACTGAAGCAATGCAAAAACTGCTTAAATATTGGCATTTGTATTTTGTACTGAAATCTTATTATGACAGAATCAGGTGTCTTCATACATAAAGGGGATTTAAATATGAGAACAAATTAAAGTTATTTCAATAAAAAAAATTGAAAAAAAGATAATCAAGAGAAACATACCTAGGAGAAAAGTTTTATGTTGATAAATAAAAAACCATGTTCCTTTACAGAATGTCAAATCACATTCCCACGTCTGATGGTGATTCCAAATCATAGGGTAGTGCACATTCACTGAAAACTAACAAAATAAAACAGGAAATTAAATTTGGTAAAATTTTGAATTAATGGTCAAGCATCTCAAGGTCACACACAGATGAACTATTTATTAACAATCTTCTAGCACTGAAACTGCAATGTGATGGTGCCATTAAAATGAATGCATAGGATGACTTGCGATGTTATGGTAGTAGCCACTGGTGGATCCAGAAATTCAGCAGGGGGGGGTGGGGGGCTCCTATTGACGTGGCCGAAGTACACCTCCTAAATCTGCGCGTGGTAGCTACATTCACTACAAGTGCATTCATGTTTCCACAGTTCCATGCAAGCCACAACAAACCATGAGATGTCTATGAGATCTGCATTATTATGAAGGCTGCATGACCTTTATCTCATCAACCCTTGCCATAATTTACCTGCAATGTTTCACTCTCAATGAAAGACCTGTACTGTAAACTTGTGGATGAATCTACATGTAATAACTGCCCCGTAATAGACGTCCTATATCCGTCACTATGCACAACCCATGGCACTATGACCTCTATGTACGAACCGGCACCAATATTCATATGTATAGCGTTAGTTTCCTGTCACAAAAACAACATAACAATATGGTATAACAGTATAAAGTCATGTTAACATAAGATGAAATGTAGATGGATCAACCTCAATGTAGGATGTGTAAATGTGGTCACAGAAATCAAAACTGAGAATGTGAAAAATGCACATTTATTCATATGATATTTATGCAATCATTTTATCGATTCACATCACATGACTCAATAATGTTTGTTTTTCCCTCATTAATATTAATTACAATATTTTCTTTTGTTTACAAATTAAAATATTCTGTTGTAAATAAGAGTCCTCTCAGTTCATTTTCTCATGGAGGTGATTTGTTATTTTATAATGTTGCTTTTATCCATTACATATCACATGATTAGCATAAATAGTGACAGTTCAGTCATAACATTCAGTTGTGATACAAAAACAACAGACGAATTTCTGGTCAACAGGTCATCAACAACTTTAATTTCATTTTATAAGAATTCAGATGTAATACCATTACATAGTGAATCATACTAATTCATGCACTGGGTCAAAGTCACTAAAATGGCATGTCGCTATTTGAAAGTGGTTTACAGTATTAATACTAGCGCCCTCCAGTGGCATTCATTTTGTTTCCCTTTCTTTTTATGTCAGATACAGTAATACTCATTATTAATAGTCATATAGTAATCTCATAAATAAAGATACTAAATTTTTCAGACAACTGAACCTAAAATTCTGCACATATACTTTGGTTTTTATATTACAAATTTATCAATCAATAAAATATTTATTGTTATTTAATCAATAACTCATACTCAAAATCATATAATTAATTACTAATTAAATAAATAAAACAATGCTAGCTACAAATATGAGTAAACCTGGTGACTGTTTAATTAATAAAGTATTAATTTTGTTAATCAATGTGAGAATAAATAAACAAAAATAAACAAGTAGCTGAGACTGCACGGTGTAAACTTACTTTGCATTTTGTAAATAATATGTCAATAGTAGCGTCTGCTATAATATTTAATCTGAAATCAAAACTTGTGGATTGCCTGGTATCCCCGGGTTGCGCAGGTTTGGTTACAACTAAGTCTTGGTAATCCACTGGATAGAACAACTTATGAAGCCACTCCCTGGAGAGAAAAAATGATAATGATGGTTAAAATATAAGTGATTGCAGCGTAAAAAGCTATGACCATTACGTATTTGTCTATTTCAATAGAAACGATGAAGTCTCCAATTTTTTCTTTTATATTTTTTTTTTTTTTTAAATTGTTTTTTATTTTTTATTTATTAACACATATTCACACCCCAGAAGGAATAGCAATGATTACAGATATTAGTAAAAGTATACAGAAAGGAAGGAATAAAAATAAACTAATCTACAAAAACAGAAACTGACAAAAAAAAGTGTTTTTGGTGTATACTGAACTAGTATAGAAAAACGCCTCTGTAATTAACATGTATGGGCAACTGATGGAGCAAAATAGTCTATGGAATTACACAATTTACAAAATGTACCACATCTTTGTTTAATCAGAAGCACTTTTCACAAGAAATTAACACCATAGCCACACAAGTTCCCCCCACACACGCACTCACACACACTCACATTCAAAGTCAATATAACATTGTATTCATGTACATGTACATGTATATAAAGCTCAAAGCCCAATTCCATACACAGATACACACACCCATCCACCCAAATATCAGCTGATTACTTGTTGCTAAGCAGGGGTTACTAGGACAAGCACAGTGTGTGACAAGGAAATAGAAATGTGATCTACAAACTGTACAGTAGATACAGTTATGTAATACAAAACTCAGAAGGAAGTCAGAAATATAAAGTGACAGTCAGATAGTTACATTTATCAACGTATTACTCAAAATATTGTGGAAAATTAGTATTATAACTGCACCATCGTCAACTATTGTCACAATCACAAATTAAAAACCAACATTTCATTTTCTTTTTAAATGTTGATCATGACTTGTAGCTAATAGAAAATCCAAAATTATCTGAAAATTTATCAACAAATACATAAAAATTGGAACCAAAATTATGATGTAAAAATTAGGTGGGTGGGTTAAACCAAATGCAACATCCATATGTAGAGATAGTTATAGCACACATATAAATGGTGAAATTTGCATAAATAAAATATAAATAGATTTGTTTATATAATACCTTTGTCTATCTGCCCACGGTCCGTAGCTAAGGTCAGTCCCTTTACCACATTTGACGTTCATACCCCAGCACGGTGCCGGTGATATCTCATAATCTTCAAGTGTATCGGGCACCAAGCCTAGTCACATAAAAATAACAATTTAATATTTATTGAGTTAATTAAAAGTAATATAGTTAAATTAAGTTATTAAAACATATTAAAATAAATGTCAACAAGTACTGTAAAATCTGTATTAGAAGCTGCGGCTTCTATTAAAATGGTACATTGCAACAGAAGGGATGTGGCTTCTATTAGAGCATCTAAACATATGAGAAACGGTGAATTTTTGGTTCTCAATTATTCAAAAAGAATGGTTGTGACTTTTATTAGAGATGCCGCTTCTAATACAGATTTTACGGTAAGAGTATTGTGTTACATCTAGGGTTCTGTCAAGCCTCATTAATATTATTAATCTACATGCAATATTAATTCATTTATGAATTATCACTTTTTGCAATCACCTAAAGTAATATTGTTATTATTCAAGAACCTTACTTATGGCAAAGTTAAGTCACATATCTCAATTGATACCAATATGCTATCAACATATTACATAACTTAATAAAAATGAAATTGGCAATAGAATAAATATAATAAAATTTGAGCAAAATATATCAAAACATTGTTGTGAAATTATGTTTTCATGATGAGATTTTGCACAAATTTATTACTACTGCCATAGCAATAGAAAGTACCAGGATGTGTGACCTTTATGGGTCATGAACACATGCATTTATAGATTGACTACTTTTAAAATTAGTTCCTTTTAATTTGCACTTAGACACATTCAGCGTTTTCACCTGAAAAATAGTGTATTCTTTGCTAATTTACATAATAATAGAACATATTAATTAACACTACTCTATTTGTTGTCATGGTAACTGAACTCTATTGTTTATTTTACAAAGATGTGACCCTTTCATGTAATATATAGCTCAGTAAGTGATACTAAAATATAATGTAACATCACAATTCATATAACCTTTTCTCAGAATTGTAGTCGACATATTAAATTATTAAAATCACTATCAGAAACATAATACCCCATCAAGGATTTATATGGGCATGTAACTTTGTAACTTTAATATCCAGTGAAGAAGCCATGTAATATCATTCTGTATGTCCTCAATCAAACTTATTTTCAAGCAATGGAGTTATACATGTATGTACGCTGGAAAAGTTTGATTGTGTATAAAACTGAAATAAATATACCCTATATTGTCAAGATGTAATACAATAGGACATGCTGTGTTGCAGGCAAATAAAAGAAAACAATGGTGAAAATTGTTTCAGCGGTAACCTGCAAATAACCTTTACACTAATTTCAGTTTTATTTTTAGCAAGATTACTATAATCCCATATATGCTTTGTAGACAATGAAATGAGTGAAAGGGAAATTTGTATATCACAGTATGAAAATATATTAATGTGAGAGTGCTCACCAGGTTCATCCCAATAATAATAGAAATCAACAGCATTAGATTGTAACATGACAAATCCTTCTCCCATGTACCGTGGTGGTCTGAAAGATAAAAAAACAAATGAGAGTTATGCTTTGGTAACATTTTTTTAGTGCATATATTTAATAACAAATAGGGTAATAGTATGATATGTTCCAATCAAGACTGTAGATAAATATTTTTTCACTTAATATTTTATTTTTCAGTTGTTAGTAATCAGCAATGATGAAAAAAAAAATGTCTCTATTCGATACGCATTTTCATATTGGTGAAATTCACATTGTACAAAATATACCAAAATGGTATATTTTCTGAGGTGTTCTATTTGAGTAGTTGGGTGAGTGTCATGGTCAGAAATGGGATGGCATTACTTGAGAACTATTTTCTGAGGTGTTCTATTTGAGTAGTTGGGTGAGTGTCATGGTCAGAAATGGGATGGCACAAGTACCAAACTGTGCAGGTAAAAGATTTACTAACATATTGAACTGATTTAGAGAGTGAAGGGCACACTAAAGGATTTAATTTATTGCTTTGTGGTATGTGAATAGCATAAGCCATGGCAAATAAACAAAAACATTCCTTCCAAAGAAATACATGTACCCCTGGTATATACATTTTGTATATACAGAACTCGTCATTGTTCCCCCATCTTAGATTTTAATGCATCTATCCAGACAGACTACCAGCATAGGTAGTTGACATGGCAACAAAGCCCTGATTCCATAATTTTTTTTTTACATTATTAACTGTTTCAAGAATTACTTTCTATTAAAATCAATGTTGTAGCAATTTGAATTACATTGCATCTATGCTTGGCTACTCAACCAAAACATTACATAGAAATATTAGTTTACATCAAATACAGTACTGGTAATAGATTTATATTCATACATGTATTTGCCACTACATGCTTTGAGCATTACGGTAATAGTTTAGAAGATGATCAAATGGGTCAAACCATTTGGCATGGTGGGGAGGATGGGTGGTATGACATGAAATATACTATACCCAAGAATGAAGTGATAAAATTTGGCCAATTTGAAATTGATCTGAATTTAAAATGTTATCACATTTACCGGTGCACCATTTTAGCGAAGAGTGTTAATTATACGAGATGATGCATGCATACATTTAACCCTACATTATGTGTATAAAACTGTTAACTATACAAGTGCTATTCATATGAAATACCCATCCAATATCTCATCAGACCATGTCAACCATTCAGTCATAATTACTATCAATCATCCCAGAATATTAATCATTTCCCTGTCTGTGATATCATATTACAATACACCACAATGACATACTTGAGTGAAATGCGTCTAATAGATGTTGTGTAACACATCAATGAAAGCTAATATCAGTACTGTAGGAAATTTAAATATTGAGCTATTAAGTATGTGTACAACGAATCACTGGAAGAAATTCCCATTGAATACACTGGAAAAAGATGATCACATCAAAAACTCACTAAATTTAGTGTAATTTTTCTGAAAGTCTTTAATAATATTAGGATTTCTATCAATAAAAATATAAGAATTTTTTTGTATAAGACACTGAGGAAATTTCCATGAAGAAAATACTATCACTATAGAAACCAGAGCAGAAACTGAGAAAATTTTCCATGACATATCAGATTGTCCATTGACCCTCGGCTTTGAACTAGACCTTTGCCAATTGACATTGGTGAGTCCATTAAAGCAGTCTGTGTCCTAATGTCATGCATTCATAAATAAAGTTTGAAAAAAATATCATTAAATTTCAATTTATTAAAAACGTTTTGACTGAAAACATCTGATCACTTTGGTAAGGCAATTACAAAGCAACAAATTATGCGTGAAACATTGGCTTCATCATATCATTCCAAGTTTACATGATAAATTTACATGAAGTATGTTTTACTATTGTGTTAAGTTTAAGTTGTGTTGTTGGCATTATTTTGTTCATTTTCCATTTGAAATTAAAAAAAAAAGGCACAAACAATCTAGAAAAATATAGCATATGAAAGCCATACAGACCCCTGCTGAAACATTCTGTCATACAATGCTGTTTTGAATTGCTGCCTTGGGAGTAAGCTATTCACAACACTATAACAAGTATGTAATGTTCAAAGTAAAAGAGTTATCCTATAAAGGGATGGGCACAATGGCTGTACAGGAAATAAACAAGTGTGTAGTGCAGAGAAATCTTAATTGGATAGGCGTCACACTGAATTTCATTTTGTGAACATCAAGCATGTGACTCAGTGGCAGGAAGATGCCCTAAGATACTGAAAATTACACACAATAATCTACGCGAACCCAGACATCTGAAAATATCATAAATGTTGATATAATGGGTGAGAGACTTCCAATAAACACAACACAACAGCTTTAATGAAAGAGAAACTGAAGAAATCAAATTCATTACCATGGCAACACAGCAACAATCATGGACAAATACAAATGGTTGAAAAAACATACCGGTAGTAATAGTAAAATAAAGAATACGTACTCATCCAATTGACCCTGGAATTTTGGACTTGGTGCAAACATGAGTCTGACATTCTCGCCGTTACATTTGACGCTATGCATGAATTGGTCTAATGGCGTGGAAGCCTGCTTTGTTGTGTACATAATATGGGCATCTTCAAAACTAACAGTCAACGTAGTGGGTACAAGACGATTACCAAACACTACTCTTCCCTGGAAGATGCAATACAAATAATATGAAGATATTATGATACCGCAAAATAGGAATGAAAACATTTTGGCAGGAGTGTTGGCTGAGGCGTAGCAGAGGTTTATGCAAACATGTACTGTCTGATTTCATACTTTGCCTTATCATAGTGATAAGTTTATTAATATAAAACATTTCAACCCAAATGCTTGGCATATGGAACCCATAATTGGGCAAGATTTGCAAAGATTTGTGACACTTTCTCACTAAGAACTTCAATTTCTAGCAAGGCTGCCATCCTGAAAATAACTGGTAATCTTTCCATATTTTGAGTTTGCATTTCCTAGTAATGTAGGATGCAGTAATAATAAAATAACAATCAGTAATATCAGATCCTCCTATATCTATTTTACAATCTCTGTATCTACAATAGTGCTCCAGATACGATATTCATATGCATTTTTAATGAGGTCACATGGCCATATATGGTCGTTAAGTATGTTGATCAGCTCATGTGCCCAACGTCTTCAATAAAGCACTGATTAAATGTCTACAATATGTGACGAATGATAATTAACCATTTGTACATCTTGGGTAAATTCAGGACATTTTTCACTTACCGTTGATACATCTACTTTAATGACAGGTATTAAGTCTCTCCAGGACACATCTTTGCTTTGTTTACGAATAGCTGCCGTCTGCTCATGTCTGGAGAAAAAAAACAATAAAATAAAATCACACAGGTTTCCTCAATTGGTATTACTGTGGTGACCCTTCGTTGACCTACCTTGTGACAAACTTTTCATGCTTGACATAACCGTCACATCCATGACCCCTAACTTTGCCTAACCTGACCTGAGATGATTTCTTTATCTATTCAGATGACATGATGCCAACAAGCGCAACCCTGACATAGTATTGACCTTCTGTGAAAGACTCGTACCCCTGACCTTGTTTGACCTGACCTGTGATTCTCATACACAAACACTATCCTAACCCACGCATGATCAAGCATGCCTCATAGCATGATGCCATGTGACCCCAAAACTACACTTCATTCCATTCTCAACCATTGTACATTGTACCTATATTACAACAATCAATACAGCAATAAATTAAACTCAAATGTCTACATATATACATGCATCAATGATGTTCCACTAAGAAAACACACAAAATAATGGCAAGCATAGTTTAACTTAAATACTGTCATCACCACATCGGCTCCTTGAATAATTGAATTTACAAACAGAACAACTATGTATGATAAATCGGCACCATCTAGTTATACTGCCATTTACAGACAAAACAGGGATAATGGGTCAGGTCACAAACATTCTGATGTATCAGATAGTTTTCTCAGTCCCTTCAGTGTTCAGTTTAGACAGGTTTCACTGTAAGACCTCTATAAACTGAACACCTCTGTAAACTGAACAATTTTCTCTTCAGTGTTTAGACAGGCTCTAAATACCTGTAAACTGGACAATTTCTTAGATACATTGTAGGTTTCACTGCATTAAAAAGCAACATACGCTATTGTAATCTCATTTCAATAGCTTAATTGGTTTAACTAGGATGTGATCTGACTTGGAATATATCTAAGAACTAAATACCTTTTCTGATTCGCTGCTTCTTTACGTTCTTTTTCACTTTCTGGTATCATAGTAGGCTCAAGTCCGAACTTCTTTTCAATCTGACTGAAGAGTGTAGATCTGTTGTATTGGTGATACTCCAAACCATTCAGTAATATATTTAGCCTGGTCTCCGCATGCGACATATCAGCTAGAAATAACACACAAAGTAGTTCAAATCAAATGATTACAAGTATCATGGAAAACAGTGAACTACATCAAAAATGAACAATCATTCTTAGTTTTAGAAATCAAAGCTGAAATATGCAGTAAAAATATTAGTTTGAAGAATATTAGCAAATAATTCCATAAAACTTTACAGATTATATAAATATTTTAATCATCATTGTCAATGAAACAAGGATTTCTTTAGTTTTTTTCAGTTGTCTCCCAAACCCTTAAGAAAGCTGAAATTTTGTGCAAAGATTCACTACTTTGAGATCAAGTATGGTGACTCCATATTTTTTTAAACAAATATTGAAATAATGGATTGCTACCAAGTTTATTTTTAACTAACTGAAAATAGAACCAAGTACAGAGAGAAAGTACACCGCAAAAGTTGATTGCAAATAAATAAATAAATCAAACATCAGTAATTAACACTTAGTTATAAATTGAACTGAAAAGCCACATGCTCAAGATATGCATGATCAAGCCCCTCTATCACACTACTCGCCCACCCCTTATGAACAAAATGATTCTAACCTTGGTCTGGCATAGGTTTGTATGGCCTCCACCACCTAAATATAGCCCAGCCATCCTGTACTCTGAAAATTAAGAACACTCATTAATAATGTATTACATCGTGAAGTACATAACAATAAATGTAGTTGATATGTTAAGCACATATAAGGGTTGGGCCAATGAATATTCTGAGGTCATAATATGTATCTATCGCAACGTACATGCATGAGCAAACTGTTACTGCTCGGCATATATACCAAAGCATAATGGTGCACCAGTTTCCTGCCCAAGTTATACTTTGTAGTATACTTATAATAACTCTATTATTATATGTCTTCTCGATCCAATCGCTTCAATAATGAAACCAGTAAATGAGCATGAAAATTAATTTTGTTTTGAATATTGTTTGTCTCTTCTTATTTGAAATTCGATTTCCAAATAAGGTAGAATGCAAACTTCCTGTTCAATGATGCCAAATTACTACACTCATTAAAGTTTAATATAATCATATACTGGTACATGTAGACTGTCGACAGTCCTCGGGCCTTGTAATTGTGTATCCTAGACATTCAAAACGCAGATGGGAAATGCGAAGCATTTCACGCGAGCGACTTTAGTCCCGAGAGACTGTCCCCGTTTGCAGGTTTCTAGTTGATATGAATAATTCATAGTTGATGCTGACATCACAAAATAAATGATATGCAAATTTATTCTAAATGACATCCTGAATGCATTGGTTATTCACGTTATGAACACAATGAATACAGTCGCTCCAACCAAAATAACAAAGAAAATATTAAATCGCCTAGAACCAAGGAAACAACATGCATTGTTTGTGGCAGTGATATAGAAAATATAGAAAACAGAAGGAGATTGTTTCGGGGGATCAACAGAACTACGACATGCAAAGAAATCAAATTTGTTGTGGCAGAGACGGTCGATCTACATCTTGGCAGTTTGTATGCATGCAGAAAATGTGGACTGAGAGCGTCGACTCTGCATAAAAACATGGATGAATTCAGGAAGAAATTTCAACAAATTAAAGTCGCAGGCATTTTCTACCAAGAGAATGGCAACTGAAAGTGGAGGATCCCTGGTTTCGAAACAAGTTCTTTTTGACAAGACGAATGTCAACAACAGCACGCTGACGAACACATCTTTTCCCTCTGTGTAGTT